ATTTTTCCCACAACCAGGCCAAGTACACGGATGAGGTTTTTCATCTGGTTTTTTTGTGCAAAGAAAAAAAATCAAAATTAAATTAATAATTAGTAAATTAACAAAATGTATTCAACATACCTTTTTTTTGTTGTTTTTTTAAGATTGATTCGTTTGGTGAAGACTTTATTACAGCCTTTCAATTGTCATTTATGCAAACGTTTATGCAATCGTTTTTCATCTGGCCATTTACATGGAAATGATAACGTAGAATAGTTCCTACCATCGTCATGTGTTGTAGACAAAAGTAATATTATTTTTTTCTTTTTTGGCATATAGGAAACGAGGGTACAATCTTGGGTGAAAGCAAATTTTGAGCTTTTTTCGTCCCTTCCTTTAGTTATTATCAGTTCCGGTGGTACTTCTTTTTTGTTTTTTTGAATTATTCCAAGCATCGTTAGATTCATTTGTTTTTTAAGATATATGGCCATGGTTACATTACATTCCTTTAATTACTTCACACATCCTTGGAACAAGTTCCATCGGTGAATTAGAGATTCGATATTGGCCTTTTACTTGTTGACCAGCATATAATTCAAGGTTGACCGTGTACATGGTTTCAGAATCGACTAAAGAAAAAATTTTGATACCATATTTTGCTGGTTTGGACGGTATGTTTTATCGAAATGGACATGTTCATCGATCGTAAGATTTGGTCCTCCATGGAGTGATGGTGTTTTTGCAATTGTTCACAAATAAATCGAAGATGGTTGTAATTGCTGCTAATTTGTCAGTTTTTTTTCGCTCATCTCGTGTGTTGATTTCATCAAATCGTATGCTTCTGATCAAGAATCTGAAACGATTGTATGACATTGTACAATAGATAATATCAATACCGCGGTACCGGTTTTCTTTTTTTGTTTTCCATAAGTTTTTGATGTTTTGGCGTACAGATTTGACATCACTCAGAATAATGATTTTATTAGTATACTTTTCTACTTTTTCTTAAAACATGCTCGAATACATTGAGCCTTTCATAAACAATGTAATGAAAAGTGGTTGACGTCGCATTACAACGCCATCTGTAAAAAAAATAAAAAATGATGAAATTAGACATTTAAACTTTTTTAAAACATCGATAATAGTTTTAATTAAGAATACCTAAAGTCCTGACAAAATTGCTCCAAGGAAATCGGCGCTGGAGCAATTTAATTGAGTCTGGGGTAGAATTTTACCGAGTACTCGAGGGTTAATTCTAACAATTTTCTGAAAAAATTCCAAAGTAATCACAATAACAACCTGCTCACACGGCTATTTGTGTTTTCGGATCATGATTTTTTTTGGAAAATGTAAATAAAATAAAAAATAATCGCAAAATATTAATCGCGAACAAAAGCAAAAAAAATTCAAAGAAACAAAAATGCATTTTTTGTATTCCCGAAACCAAAGAAATCAAAAACGGTTTCAAAATAAATATTGTAAGTTTGAATTGTTTTTGGTTTTGTTTTTTTGTTTCAATCATTTTTTTGTGTCTATATATAGACGTATCAAATTAATATATATGGATCATTCCATCGTACACTTCGTTATCAACAGCTTTATCATTTTCATATTTAGTTCAAAAAAGTATTTAGTGCAAATTCATTACCCAATTTTTCACCTCAAAAATTTTTTCCAATAAATTCACATCAACGTAGCAGAACGACGATTACAGCTAGAAAAATATATTCAAATCGGTAAGTAAATGATGTTAATCATTTATTGATTTTTTTTAATCATTTTTTTTATAACAGTAAGCCAAGATTCACAAATCTCAACAAGAATCACATAACAATAATAATGACAACAATTTGGATATTTATCAATTAGATTGGCAGCCAATTCGATTGACGACTAATGGTCAAGAAAATAGTGAAAATGTATTGCGAAAATTTTGTCAAACAATTCAAATGAATTCGAATCATGTTTCATATTTTGCATTATTTTTAATCGAACGTTTTATCATGATTGATAATAATGATAATGATAAGAATAAGCCAAAACATTTTCGTATCATAAGACGATTACAAAATTTCGAATGACCATTATTAACATTACGAACAATTCAAAATAGAATGGTTACTTCAAATCAACAGCATAATAATATTATAATCATTATATATAAATCATATTTTAATATTGAATTCGATCAGGATTTATTTGATGATCAAATTGCATTGAATTGTATATTTCTACAAACTGTACAAGATATTGAAATTTGTCATATTGTTTGTAATGATCATGATACCAGAAGACGATTATATCATTTGAAAATGAAGCCAGATAAATTAGAGGTTTGGAAATTTTTCTTTTACATTACATTATTTTGATAATTTTCTTTTTCTGTTGTGTCCAGTATATTCGATTAAAATTACAAAAATTTTATGGCTATTTTCATTTTGAATCATGTTATTGTGATCTACCATCAATGCCAGCCAAAGCGAATGTAACAATTTTCGCTGGTAATCAAGAGCTTATAATTCGTGTCGACAATCAAGATGTAATTATAATTATGTTTTTTAATTGTTATTATTCATTTTATAGCAAGAATATAGTTTTCGTATAAAATGTTGGAGATTTACACGTTCGCTACCAGCGAAACATATGGCGTCGTTTTTGTTCTTTCATTTAAACGAATATGAGTCGTTTTAAAATTCAATGCCATTCAAGTTCTTTGTTATTGTCTCAAAGTTTAATGCAATTTATATAAAGAGATTGGAATAACAACGGAAAACAGTTTTAAAATTTACCATGTATGGCTACCCGTTTTATATAGCCTAAAATTTGAACATCGACTTCATTCAATTACAGAATTATTTAATTAACACTTTTCAACTACTGTTCAGCAACAGTTCTTTTATAAAAAATTCCATATGCTTTGGTTAAAGATTTGTTACCGAAGCTCTAGTAGAGAACGTGTTAACAACATCGACTGTTTACACATAATAATAATAATCCACTAACAGATTTGGAAATTTTCGAACAAGAATCATCACAGGAAAAAGGACGATTTGAATTATCATTCGAATATCTAATCAATAAATTTCCTATTGAATTAGCACAATGATGCATATTGCTGACATGAGAATGATCACTGATGTTGAACGATTCAAATTATTGATTTTGATACGAGTAATTTTTTAACTGGTTTCACCATAAATTAATTTTTCTATCATTTCACAGCAATGGTATCGGATTTACGAAACGGGAACCTTGATGATCAAGCCAAAATTCTTAAGAAATGAAAAATTATAAAAAGTTGGGCTGATGTGAAATGGTGGATGGTTTTGCCAAATTTTGGTCATTTTTTTAAACCTATCGTTTAAACCAAATTATCGAAACATCCGTCTGTTTTTTAAATTTTTTGATAATCAATCAAAGAAAAATAAATTTAAGACTGGAGAAGTTTCAAAAATTTTTTTTGTTATAAAAACATGACCATCAAACAATCTTGGACAATGAATCGATTTCAAATTATCACTAATTATTCACTTTCAATCAATCAAAAAAAAACTTTATTTTCAGAAAAAAAAACAATCAAGAACTACAAATATTAATATGAATACAATTTAATTATTGGTAAATTTCAGTTATTCAAGGAATATCTTTTTCTACATGAGATTTTTGATACATGCAAAAAGTTATTCCATGATCCCATACTAGTTTCAATATTCGATCAACTAGATTTTGTTTATCTGAACAATGATACCAAACAGTCAAATCATCATTACAATTAGAATCTGGTGGTGGTTCTTGACCAATTGTTTTACACATTTTACAATTCAATTTATCATGTGTATCACTTTTGGTATTCAATTCTAATCGAAATAATTCTTTTAATTCCGAAAGAGAAAAATGTCTTTCCACTTCTTCTTTTTCCATATTATCGATAACAGATGTTCTTAATGCACGTTTATGTGTTTGACGTTGAAAAATTTTCTCTTCAATAGTACCGGTTGTTAGTAGACGATAAATAAAACATTGTTTTTGTTGACCATCACGCCATATTCGTGCCATTGCTTGATCATCATTAGCTGGATTCCAATCTGGATCATAAATCACCAAACGATTTGCACCGATAAGATTTAGACCACAACCACCTGCTTTACTACTAATCATAAATATAAAAACCATACTTCTTGCATGATTAAAAGATTCAATAATTTTTTCACGTTCCTTTATCGTCATACTACCATCTAAACGAACATAGCGATAATTTCTTTTTTGACATAATTTTTCAAATAAATCCAATGTTTTTGTATAATTCGATACCAAAACAACTTTATCATACGTTTCTTTTCGAATATTAATCAATAACTTATCTAATACCATTAATTTTCCAGATAATGTTGGCTCAAATTGACCAGTTTTAAATGATCGAAAATCATTAGAAAAATGTTTCAATAAGAAATTCAGATCGGAAGCATTTTTTCCTTCTTGTAACTTTTCCTGATTTTCAATGATCATATCGTAAGCTAATTGTGGACTATTACATAATTTTTTCAGGAATGTTATTGCGACTAGTGATGCATTTCCAACACTACGACTTCCTGTAGAATGATGATCTGGATTTCCGCGTATAACTTTAGCAAGTTCTTTTGAATTAAGAAATTCTTGATATATTCGTCGTTGTATTTCAGTAAGTTCACAACAAACGATTTGTTCAATTTTAACTGGTAAATAGTTGGACAAAATATTTGATGTTCGACGTATCATAATTTTATTGACCAAACCGATTAATTCGTTTAATCGTTCTTGACCAAGAAGTCGTTCATCTTCGGTAGCATCGGCATCACGTCCTTTCAAAATCGGATTTTCATAATGGCGACGAAAATCTACCGAAGTTCCGAATAATCCCGGACAGACAAATTGTACGAGGCTATAATATTCCAAAAGATCATTTTGAATCGGTGTTCCGGTCAATATGACACGACGTTTAGCACGAATCTGATTCAATGCTAAATAGGTTTGATTATTTTGATTTTTAAGTCTGTGGCCTTCATCACATATCACAAGACCAATATCACCTGTAAGTAGAATATTAGTATGTAGTCGAAATGTATCATATGAAATTATTAAAATAGGTTGACAACAACGACGACCTGATGTTGTTTGAATGAATGATGCAAGTTTACGATCAATTTCTTTTTTCGAACCACCATCAATAGCTAATGCATTGATACGACAACCAAGCCATTTATTGATTTCATTGTACCAATTTTTTACTAAACTACTTGGCGAAATAATTACAGCTTTATCGATAGTAGCTCGTGCATCTGGTCCTTGTCGTAAAAGTGTCCAACATAACGTTATACATTGCAATGTTTTACCAAGACCCATTTCATCGGCCATAATACAACCATATTGATCGTTGATTTTTAAACCGGTCACACAATCCCACATGAATTTGACTCCTTCACGCTGATGAGGTCGAAGAACATTACATAAAACAGGATCAACAACAACATGAACTTTATTATCTTTTTTTGTCAATTTTTCCAGAGCATTTAATGGTGGTGGTTCATACAATATCAGTGCATTCGGTGCATCTGGATCAAATAATGGCCGTCTGGGTCCTGTCAATTTAACTCCTAATGATCGATATGATGATCCTGATGATACATATCGAAAATAGAATCATAAGTTCAAATAAAACAAACAAAAAATCATCAAGACAAACCTGCATAATTATCAATTGGGATTTTAAATGGACGATTTATTTTTTTTGGAATTTCATCATCATCTTGTGAATCAGGTTTTCGAACAATATCATTGACATGTTTATGATTTGGTCGATATGTTAATGAATCAGTTTCCGTATGGCCTAAAGATTTTCGTTTAGCAATATACGATGGAGCATTAGTTCGTAACATTTTTAAAAAAAAATATGATGAAATCAAAATTATGAATTTTCGAAATTCTAAAATTGTTCTCTTTTTAACGGTGGCTGTTCATTAAATATGTTTTTTTTATATGTCTCTTGGTAAAACAAAAAACGTTTTCAAATATATTCTGTAATATATCCTTTATTACAAAATATCATCATTGATTCTGTTTTTTTTTTTTTTTGGTTAGATAATTAGGTGAAATTTTTAAGAAAATAAAAAAAAATCGTAGTATTTTTTATAAATTTTTTTTAAAACGATTAAATACTTTTTATTATATTGGAATTTAGTCGAAAATCATATCGGTCGGTCACGAACAAATTCAACCAATTGATCCATGTTTTTTAGTACACATTTCAAGCTTAATGAAAAATGATGTCAAATTGAAGATTGTACAAAAGGAAATATCTTTGTACATGACTAATGTTTTGTCTGATTTCTTGGTGATAATGATTGTCCGTTAGATATGGCATCTAAATCACATCAATCTCAAATCTATGAAACAATCGTGGTGCTATGGTCAGCAAAACAATCATGTTTCATAATAATCATTTTGTTTTGCTGATCATCATTTTCATTAAACTGATAGTTGAACTCCAAACGTTAAGTCGAAAAAAAATTGAATGGCTTTTTGGACAACTTTGTCAATCGAATAAATCGATTTGGTCGAAATGAACTAAAAAGAAAAAGCGTGAAAATTGAAAAAATTGAACTTTTGAGATAACTTTAATTTTAATTATATCCGGAAATTTTAAGGAAACATTTGATTATTCAATTACAATTATAGAAGTATTATTTAAAAAAAGATGAAAATTATTAATTTGTAGAAAAAAACAGATTTTTTTTTTGTTAATCATTTGATGACAAACATACGAAAAAGCAAAATTTGATGATTCATTCATTGTTTAATGATCGGGATCAACTTGATCAGAATCGTTTGTTTATCATTCGGAAATAATAATCACTCCACCGTGTGTATGGTGGTGCTTCCTTTTTTGCGCGAATATCATAACCATAAATATCGAACAATTCTTCACGTGTTTTAGAATTCTGTTCTTCTTCATTGAATTTATCATGTTGCCATTTTTCACCATTATCTTCATGCAAAGATTTTCCGTCTTGTTGATCTTGATCAGATTTTTGTGATTGATGATCATATACGCTATCATTCAAATCATCTGAACATAGTTTCATTGATGAAAGCATTGATTTTTTCCCAATGGCCGATGTAGTTTTGACATTTTGATCGTTAACCGAATCATTCATTAAATGTTCTTCACCAATAACATTTAATGGCTCATCATTTTTTTTGTTTTTTGTACCATCTTCATCATTACCACGAACATCATGCTGAAAATATGATCCTTTTCGGGGTACATATTGTGGATTACGTTTTGCTTTAAATAATTCAGCTTTAGATAATTTTGCAGATTTTGGCAAAGATTTAGGTTGGGTTGCATTTGTCGTATTGATCATACACTCTTTGTTTGTTTTGTCATCAAGCACAGGTTTTATCGCATTATTTTTTGATGGTATTGTTTCTTCACCATCACCATATTCACGGAGATTTTCATTTTTATTTGTTTCTTGACAATTATCGATAATGTTTTGCTTATCATCTTTGACAGATTCATTATCTTCCTCATCAACACCGTCACACTTTACATCCTCACCGATATTATCAGTCAATTCTTTCTTTTCTTCTACATGATTGTCATCATCATCATTTTCTTTTTGTACTACATATGAATTATCATCGATTTTTCCATCTGATAATGATTGTTGTTGATGTTGTTCCAAATTGGCATCATCATTATCATTAAAATTATTATTCTGGAATAAAAGCTCTTCTTCATTTGCACTTTCATATTCAGATTCTCCTGCATTCGATGTTGATGTATTACGAAGATCTGCTTTACTTTCCTAAATCAATTTAAATCATAAAAAAAACAAATGATCAATTAATACAACAACGATCATTATTAAAGGGAAAAAATGAAATCAATAATCAGAAATGAAAATAACAACAGTTAGCAAACAAATTAAATAGAAAAAAAAGAATATGATATGGAAAGGCAAATCNTCGAACAGTGTAGATAATTGAATTTCTTCGCCTTCAATTACTTCGATTTCGTTATTTTCAATTGATGATTGATTCGATATTGTCGTATTTTCCATGACAGCTTATGATACTGGATCGTCATTCATTAGAATGAAAGAATATGATTAATTTGTGATGTCAGTGAACTGAATGATTTTTATATGAACAAAAGAATGAATTTTTTCCAAAATAAGCACATACGCACACATCCAAAATGAAAAATGCTTGAAATTACACACAGTGAGTGGTGTGCTCAAAAAAAAGGAAACGAGAACGAGAAAAATAGTCGTTTTTTCTTTTTTTCACTATAGTTCTATTTTTACTCAAACATTCAATTTGAGGTTGAAATAGCTATGAAAAAAAGAACATAAACTTGTGCAGAATAAAGAAATAAATCAAGAATTTTGACGTTTCAATAACAGAATTAATATATTTCAGGATGTTCAACCAAACTTTTATAATCAAATGGTAATTCAAGGCGACATTTTTATTCATTTATTTTCGTTTTTGGCAATTGTAAGATTCAAAAATTGTGATCACATTCATGATTTCAAGTTAAGTAACAACAAAATTTATGTGAATTTCAGTTTAATTTTTCTTTTTATCTGACAAATTGTTTGGATTGATTGTTCACTAATGATGTTGGCGCAATCTTTTTCAACTCAATTCAAAGTACTGGCCAAATAATAGATGATAATTTGTGAAAATTTTGTCGATTTTGGGAGAGTTCATCAAAACGAAGATTATTTTGAAAAATTTATGTCAAATACTTGCATCACCAAATACTTGCATATGAATATTGATGATCGATGACAAAGTTGAACTGACCAAACCATTTGTAATTAAGTATCCTTTTATTTTGGGAATTATTGAAAATTCAGACTTTTTTTTAAAATAAATAGACAAAAACTTTACCGTTGGTACTACCACCGATTGAAGAATAAGATTAGCCGAATAAGATTTTGATGATTAATTCAATTTTGTGATTTCGGGTTTCATATTTTCAATTTAAAAAAAAAACGATTTTTATCCGAATCAATGATCATCATTGGTCTTTACTTTGTTTCACTTTATACACAAGCCGGTCATATTTGTCTCTACTATTTTTTTTAAATAGTTTTATAAATTTTAATTTGATGAACATTTTTATACTCATATTGTTGAATTCGTAATCATTATTTTTAAAAAACTATGAAATTACCTGCTGTAACAGCATCAAAATTATTTTCCTGACCGTAATGTGAAAGGAAAAGCCATTCAAAAATAGATATTGTCCAGATTGTTAATTACATACGTATAACCGTCTCATAAACCTAATGATCGATCACCATTACAATGTCATTCATTCATTTTAATCAAGAGAAAAGAATACAATGACATTAATTTTCTTTTTTTTATACATATCTAACATTTTTCGCGATATTTCGTAACGTGTAATACGCACACCTTTTTTTCAATTAAAATTATAATTTTTAAAATTTTAAATAAGTAGAAAAGTGAAAGAAAACCAAAAATCATTTAACAAATGCAACTGAAAAATATTTTAGTAGCATTGAAGGAAAATTTCGACAAAAAAATCGAAAATAAACATCAACATCAAAACGTGAACCATAATCACGTCAGACAATATGTTTACCGAAATACATTAAATCTAAACAACAAATTTTAATTCATGTTGGTTTATATTCTTCATATTCCCAATAATTTTTTGATTTTTGTTCAACCTTCACTGATCATTGTCCTCCGATTCAATCGCGACCAAATCACATGCTAATTTCAACCTAAACTAATCATCCATGATTCTCGCCAAACAATGTTCGTCAACACCCATCATCCTTGTTTTCAAATGATTAAAATTTTGATTTATTTCTTTGTTTGAAAAAATATTCAAGATTCTTTTTATCATATTTTAAAAATGGAATAAAAATAGTTTTTTCTTTTTACCAAATATTTATTTATTTTTTATTCATACAATTAAGAATGAAAGAAAATTGAAAGAAAATTAAATGATTATAACAATGAATGTTGTTGTTGATTATGATAAAGGATTATTTTTGTTTTCAGATTAAATCGGCTACATTCATTGGCATTTCATCGATTTGTGTGGAATAATATTGTTCAATATCTCGTAAAATATGGATTTCATCCGATTTGACAAAATTTATTGCCACACCTTTCCTACCAAAACGACCAGATCGACCAATTCGATGGATATATTGCTCACGATTATTTGGGAGATCATAATTGATGACTAATGATACTTGTTGAACATCAATACCACGAGCCCATACATCAGTGGTAATCAATACACGACTTTTGCCTTGACGAAATTCTTTCATGATTGAATCACGTTCTTTTTGCGGCATATCGCCATGCGTTGATGAAACAGTAAAATTTGCCTCTTTCATCTTTTCGGTCAACCAATCGACCTTACGTTTAGTGTTACAGAAAATGACGGCCTGTGTTATGGTTAACGTATCATATAGATCGCATAATGTATCGAATTTCCATTCTTCATGTTCGACAGCAACGAAAAACTGTTTTATACCATCCAGTGTCAATTCATCACGTTTAACCAGAATACGAATCGGATCTTTCATGAATTTCGATGTAATTTCAAGAATTTCATGTGGCAATGTAGCGGAAAATAATACAACCTGAGTGTATGGTGGAAGATAACGATACATATCATAGATTTGTTCTTTGAATCCTTTGTTCAGCATTTCATCAGCTTCATCCAATACCAATAATTTGATGGATCGTGTTCGAAGATTACGACGTCGAATCATATCGAACACACGACCTGGTGTTCCGGCGACAACATGTTGGCCATAATCTAGTTTACGAATATCTTCTCCCAAATTTCGTCCACCAATACAGGCATGACATTGAACATTCATGAATTCACCAAGAGCAAG